CCCACTCCACTCCAGGCCTCAGTTCTTGTGCCCCCAGGAAAGAAAATTTAGAGTCAGAAATGTAAAACCAAGAAAGAGAATTTTGTTATAAGTGAAAGTAAAGCTCAAGCAAAGAACACTCTCATGAGATAGAAAGTGGATCATCTCCCTGCAGAAAACTACAAAGGAAACTTGATACTACTTCCCAATTTGTAACCATTTGATGTTTATCAGAAGAATGGGGGTCTACCTTCTACAATCTTCACCAATCTAATATTTAACTCCTCCTTCACATTGAGTATTGTAATTTTTGAACCTAGTTGGTCCTTTCAGTAACTGTCACAGCAACCATCCCATTCAGTGCATCTTCTTCCACAATTCAACCCTATTTAACACAGGTGCTGAGGTCAACAACCAGGCAAACTTTATTTCAGTTTTCGTTTGTGCTACTAAAGAAATTTCCGTTCTGTTGTACATTGAGAGATTTATGGCTATAAATCCTAACTTTACAATGATCCCAGTAGAACATATCAGTAGTTAGCCTCATAGATCTTTCCAAAATTGGCTCCCTTTGTTTCCTCCTCTTTATTTTCAGGGTTAGTATACCTGTTGTTTTTTCCTATGAGTTACTAGTTTATTTGTTGTTGTTAGTTTTATGAAGTTTTTTGGGTTTTGGGGGGTTTTTTTATACTGGAATTGAACCCAATGGCACTTAGCCACTGAGTCACATCCTTAGTCCCCCACCTTTTTTTTTTAATTTTTAAAATTTGAGTCAAGGATTCACTAAGTTGCTTGAGGCCTTGCTAAGTTGCCCAGGCTGGGTTTGAACTTGCTCTCCTCCTCCTACAGCCTGACTGCTGCATATTTCTCTTTCTCTCCCTCTCTTTCCCTCAGATGATGAACACAGGCTTCAGTGGCCCCCACACTGCCTTCTACAAATGCCATTTCCAGGTCAGTTGGCTCTCTGGCCCTCTAAAGGGGCTATTTCTCACTTTCTCCTCTCTTCTCAAATCCCACTACTACTTGCCCACTCCTCACTCCTACAGGATGAACTTCTTTCTCTTTTCACTAGAGAAGAAATTAGGACTCAAGTAACAACTGCATCATAATCCCATCACACCTCCCATACCAGAAATTGTCTCCATCTTCTTCCCATTGGTGATGATGGATGGGCTGTTGCTGTCTGAGGCCACCCAACAAGACTGGCCCCTCCTTCCCCTACATCATCACTTCCCGCTCTGTGGCTCATTCATTCTTGCATTAATCATACTGCAATATCTCCCATTAAAACCAACACAGCTAAACTCAGTAAATAAAGCAAAATCCCTCCATAAAAAAATCTCCCACCTGTTCCTATGTCTCCCTCCCATTTCTGCCCTATTTCTCTGAAACACTTTAAAGAGAGACATCTGAGTCCTTTCTCTCATGTTTTCTTTTTAAACATTGGACTTTTGTTTTTCTTTGGGAACCATGGACAGCATTTGAAAGGTCGAATACTTCTACAAGGCTTGATAAAAAGACAAATGGCCTCAGTCTTTCATGCAGCCCCATTTCCTGATCCTCAGAGGCAGCCTACCTTACTTTGTTTGCCTGATGCTTTTATTGCTACCTCTGTGCCCCTAAACAGAATGCTAATGGGGCTTCTTCTTAGTTTTACAGTTTCATTTGCACTTTTAGTGGAAAACTTCCATTCACAGGCCCCTATCAGAGGGCAATCATTTTATAATGTTTATTATACCAATGGTGTTTTCATTATTTGGACTAAGGAAATGTTATTCACAACCAGGCTTGTAGTCTTCATTACTTTCATTGCCTTGAAATTTTAACTTCACTGCAGTTAATAAAACCATTCTTTTTTTTTGCTTAGTTTCTATTGTACTCATTACTGGAACTTTCCCAAACTCTTCCCCCATAGTGTCTGCTACAGTTTGAATGTGTGTTCCAAAGTTCTCATGTTGGAAACTTGATCTTCAATGTAGTGGTGTGGGTAGATGCGGCCTAAAGGGATGTGGGTGAGTCTTCAAGGTGCTGCTCTCATAAATAGATCTTTACTGTTATCTTGAGAGTGGATTTGACCCTCCCGCTTCTCTTGCCCTCTCTCTTTCTCCTTCTGTTGCATGAAGAAACAACAGGAAGGCCCTAACTAGATGCCAGTGACTTGACCTTGGACTTTATAGCCTTAAAAACAGTGAGAAGATAAATTTCTGTTCTTCATAATTTACTCAATATGTAGTATTCTGTTAGAGCAGCCAAATACACTAAGACAGTTTCCATGACTTTGTTCAAGCATATCCAGGATTCCACCAACTTGGTCTTTGTGAAGGCACCTGTCCCAGAGCCCTCAATACTTCCAGACCTGTACTGGATGCCTGCACACCGAGAATAAGGCTGAATGTGCAGCCCTACTCTGCATGATTACACTACTGGTGTGACTCTGTACCATGTACAGTCAGAGAAATGAGAAGTTGTGCTCCATTTTTGTACAATGTATCAAAATGCATTCTACTGTCACGAATAACTAATTAGAACAACTAATAAAAATTATTCATTTATATGAGCACTTTTTAATTTGTAAGAACTTCTTTTTGTTTTCTTTCTATATATAATTGTGCATAATTACTTGTTCACAAATACCATATCTTTTATATGTTTCAGCAATTATTGAGAACAATGGCAGAGGAACAAGCAAATAAGTTGGGACCAGTTGGGAGCATTCCACCATTGGCTCAGAGCGGCAGTTCTCAAACAGATCTGTGGAATCCTTGGAGGTGCTTAGACTATTGCAAAGGATCCATAGGATCAAAAAACATTTTTATAATGTCACTAAAATATTATTCACACTAAAGGAAGCTATGATACTAAATTGTAATAGTACTTATTATATTCTTGAGTACCTTTTAATTGCAAAAGGGGGAAAAAAGTCAGTTCTCTTAAACATCTGGTTGAAGTATTAAAAATCTTTAATTTTATTAAATTACCATTCCAGAGTCCACATTGTAAAAATACTTAATTGATAGCATAGGAAGTACACATAAAGCACTTCTATTACACTCCAGAATAAGAGTATTTTTGTCAACAAAAGCCATTTGTTAGGTTGTATTGTTATGCCAGATTCGTGGGACCCCAATAGACCTCCAGGAGCCGAATCAGATGCAAGCACACAAGAGTCTTTATTGCAAGCTAGAGCCTGGACTCACAACCATTCCCAATGCAGCTGTCCCAGGGAGTGAGTCCTGGTCCTTTGTTCAGTGAGATTTTATAGGTTTTGGGAGGATACTCTATGCGTCACAACATCACACAGCAAATCATTCCATACCGCGGAAAAATCAAACAACAACTCTTAATATTGATTAGCACATTCACTGGCGGGAACAAGTTGGGTAGGAGTAATTGGCTAGTACAAGAGGGGGGTTCGTTTGAACTGATTGGTTTAGGCCATGAGGGGTATACATGCTAAACTACATGGTTTCCCAATATGTTATCAACCACCATAAACTACTTGGGGGTCATCTGGCATTCCCGTATTTTCCCTGTCTCATGCTGATTGGAGGTTGCTAGGGGGGTTGCTATGAGTCCTCACCTAGCCTAACTGAGTCAGGGACACCTGTCACCACAGACCTCTCCTGTTATTTACAGACAAACAACTCAGCAGGGTGGGTATGTGCTTAGGAGTGCTCTGTGGGTTTTTCCAAGGACAAGGGTTACGCCCCCTTCCTTAGGACAGGCTTTGAGGTAGAAGCTGCTATTATTTATTTATTTTTAAAAATGGAATAACATTAGTTTCTCAGTATCAGCCATATTTTTTTGGAATATAATTTCTGCTTTTAAAAAATAAATGGCAGAAAAACTATTCTTTAGATTTCAATATTTGGCCAACATTCTAAAAAATGAACTGAGTCTGTCCCTTTGAGATAATCCGCAAACAGCAATATTTTCAATGACAAAGTAGGAAAATCTGAATTCACCACAATCACCTTGACAGACTCCCAAGTACCTACAAACTTTTTGGTGAAATCTGTGGTAATATCAACATATGACCTCTTGATTATTTGCACTTAAATATGTTAACACTAGAAGGTCTGTATAACTTGATCCATCAATGCGTGACTTTTAAAAATACCATGCATTAGCACAAGATCTATTCAGTATGCAAGACACACCCACAGACTTTAATACAATAGAATATGAACTATTCAATGACAATGTTTCAGGGTCCACATGGCAAAGAAACTTTAGGAAACTAACACTTGTGTCATTTTAGTGTAGTATCAAAGATGAATAGCCATGTTATCAAAAACGTTATTGAAAACATCCCTCCTACATATTTGTATTAAGCTGCATTTTTTGTTGTTTGTTTCAACCAAAGTCACAGGTTAAATACAGAAGATCTGAATATCTAGCAGTTTTCTAGTGAAAAATAAAAAGGACTTTAAAAACTGTAAAAAGTAAAATGATCCAGTCTTCTGATTAAATCTTTTAATTTTGGAAAACAGTTAATTCTCTTAAAACTACTGTTAACATGCAAGTAGTTCTCAATAGTCTGAAGGAATAAAATATCTTTAAATTGAAATTAATGCTTAATATAGCAAATATCGGTGGACATAATCCACATTAACACGATTACATCTGGAGTGCACACTACACTTTAACAGCAAATAAAGATCCTGACACCAAAACGTTTGTTTACTCCCTGAGGCATGAATAAAGGGGACAGTGTAACAAAGAGCGATTGGTACAGAAGAATATTCCAAAGTTCCAGGTCCCCCAGCTTGGCTCTCAGAATCTAGAGAGGTGTCTTGGGTGTGGACACAGAGCACTGGGGATTTCCCCTTCTGCCTTAAGTTTCACTTCTCACTCTCCCAACCTGGTCCAGGTCTATCTTCCCAGACACTCTTGACAGGGGCCCAGTTATTACTCCTATTGCGTGTCTTGCTCCTAGAGAAGCGAATCAGCGTCACCTTCACCGAGGTTCAGTTCTAAAGTTTCCACCCACCCGCCTGGATGCAGAATCTTCACAGAGCTGCAGAATGGGGGTAGTGGCTCCCCTAGAGCTGCTCCTGCTGCTGTTGGGGACCCTGGCCCTGACGGACATTTGGGCAGGTGAGTGAAAGGTCAGGAGGGAAATGGCCTCTGCGCCGGAGTAGCTGGCAACAGTCCACTTATAGCTCAGGACCCAAGAAAGCCTATCCTTGCAACCCCCAGCTTAGATCCTCCCCAGCATGGCGTGGCTGGTCCTGACCCTCCACTCTCTCCCCTAAGTCCTGCCCTCCCGCATCCCATCGCCCCTTTTGTATCTCTGGAGCCTACTCCTCTCCTCCTGGTGTCGTCAACCTGGACCTGGGTTGGGCACCAGAGGAGGGTGCACTTGGTCTCAGTTTCCCAGCCTACAGGCTCCCACTCCTTGAGGTATTTCGACACCTCCGTGTCCCGGCCGGGTCACGGGAAGCCCCGCTTCATCTCCGTGGGCTACGTGGACGACACGCAGTTCGTGCGCTTCGACAGCGACACCGAGAATCCCAGGGAGGAGGCGCGGGCGCCATGGATGGAGCAAGAGGGATCTGAGTTTTGGGACCAGATCACACAGATTTCCACGAGCAACGCACATCATCACCTAGTGTGCTTGAACAACCTGCGCGGGTACTACAACCAGAGCGAGGGCGGTGAGTGACCCCTGGCCCAAGTCTGAGATCACACCTCCGATGTTCTTCATGGATGGTCCCAAGTTGGCAGTGATTCCCTGATTCTAGCTTCACTCCAAGAATGAGGGACCCATGGAGACCCTTGAACCAGAGAGTGCCCACGGGGACTGTGACCTGGTTTCGTTTACATTTAGTGGGGGAAACCCATGGGGTGGGCGGGGTGGGGTCGTGGCTGATCCCCCGGGGTGGGGGGACACAGGCTCTCACATACTCCAGAGGATTTGGGGCTGTGACGTGGGGCCAGACAGACGCTTCCTCCGCGGGTACAAGCAGTACGCCTATGATGGCAAGGATTACATCTCCCTGAATGAGGACCTGAGCTCCTGGACCTCAGCGGACGCAGCGGCCCGAAACACCCAGCGGAAGTTGGAGGCAGCCGGTGACGCAGAGCACAGCAGGGCCTACCTGGAGGGTACCTGTGTGGAGGAGCTCCTCAGATATCTGGAGAACGGGAAGGAGGCATTGCAGCGCTTAGGTATTAGAGGCTGTGGGACTCCTGCCTGATGTCCTGTAGATCTCTCCACTCTCTTCCCACGAGAAAGGGAGGAGAATAACACTCACACTAGAACACCACCCTGCTCTTCCTCCAGAGGGAAGTGAGTCTGCCAGGTGCTGTACTGAGAGGAACTGAAGGCTGCTTTCTCTCAGGACAAGTAAGGGAGCTGGTCTCTCTCTCCCTGGCTGGTGGGAAAGACAATAAATAACTGAGCACAGTTCCCTCGGCAACAGCCTTGGCATGTATGGTCAGGTCCACTCCAGCCTATTGTCTTTGAGGTGTGACTCCAACTTTTCAACATCTCTCAGCCGCCACCCAGATCAGAACTCTAAGTCCCCATCAGACACCTGAAGCCTCTTACACTGGGTTGTCTTAACAAGATTCTAGAACTTTGCAAGGAATAGGAGATTATGCCAGAAGCTTCAACCCAGACTTGTGTCTAAGTTTTGTGCTCCCTCCCCAACCCAAATTGTGCTGTCCATTCTCCAGATAGTTATGTGAGCACTGCTTCAGTGATCCAGGAGTGGTAATGCAAAAATATCTGAATTTCCCTATTCTTTCCGTCAGACCCCCCAAAGACACATCTGACTCACCACACTAGCCCTGACGGAGATGTCACTCTGAAGTGCTGGGCCCTGGGATTCTACCCTAAGGAGATCACCCTGAACTGGCAACGAGATGGGGAGGACCAGATCCAGGACATGGAACTTGTGGAGACCAGGCCTGCAGGGGATGGAAACTTCCAGAAATGGGCAGCTGTGGTGGTGTCTGCTGGAGAGGAGCAGAGATACACATGCCATGTGCACCATGAGGGGCTGCCTGAGCCCCTCATCCTGAGATGGGGTAAGGAGGGGATGAGGGCCCAGAGCCTGTTGTCAGGAAGCAGGAGACTTTTTCTGGAGATCCTCAGCAGGGTAGGGATTGAGAACTGGGGATGAGGGCCCCTCACCTAATTTCTCTACCTCTCCCAGAGCCACCCTCTCAGCCCATCATGGGAATTGTTGCTGGCCTGGTCCTCCTTGGAGCTGTTATCACTGGAGCTGTGGTCCCTTTTGTCTTGTGGAAGAAGAAAAACACAGGTAGGAAAAGTGCAGGGTCTGAATTTTTGTTCCACTGATGGTTTCAAGTACCTGGTAGAAATGTGCCCTGCCTTGTTCATTGGAAGTAATAGCTACATGTGTCCTTACCCGGCCTGGAATACTGTTTAATCTTTGTAAAACATATAAAAAATAAAAGACAAGTTATGCTTTTGGGGGATGGGGTGGATACCAGGGATGAATGCAGGGGCACTCAACCACTGAGCAACATCCCCAGCCTTATTTTGTATTTTATTTAGAGACAGTATCTCACTGAGTTGCTTAGCACTTCACTTATGCTAAGGCTGGCTGTAAACTCATGATCCTCCTGCCTTAGTCTCCTGAGGTGCTGGGATTATAGGCATGGGCCACCACACCCAGCAAATTTATCTTCTTGATTTTTTGTGATGAAAAGGACCTGATTCCCAACATTTAGAGGCCGGGTGGGAATTTCCTGCTCAGAGCAACCCTCCAGGAGAGAAATTGGTGCCATTCCTATCTATCTACTTTCTTCTTGTCTCCTGATTCTTCCCTACATCTGCAGTCACAGTTCTGGAGACTGTCCCAGTGTCCAGGACTATGGGGCACCTCTAAGACCTGTCTTTAACCTGTTCTGTCACAGGATGTTTTCTTCCCAAAGGAGTAAAAAAAAGTACCTATGCTTCAGCTGCCTGTAAGTACGAAGAATAGTGATCCCCAAGGCCCTTGGGTTAGTGTAGTGGGAAGTGATGGGGGAGCTGATCCATCCCATAATTCCTTCATTATCCACATCTCCTGTGGACTCTGACCAGGTTCTCTTTTTGTTCTGCTCAGGTAATGACAGTGCCCAGGACTCTGATGTGTCTCTCACTGCTTAGACAGGTGAGATCCTGGAGGGCCTAAAGAGAGAGAGGGGTTGGGGAATGGGGAGACTCCTGAGTTACAGGGCCTCTCACAAGGATTTTTGACATTTTCAGTGTTTAATGGGTTGTTCAGAGTGTCTTTATTACAATTGAGTGATCTGAATTTGTTCATAATACTTTCTTTTACAGTGAGAGACAGCTGCCTCTGTGGGACTGAACAATACAGGATTTCTTCAGTTCTCTTCCTGCTTCCTACTGCAATTTCAAGGGGTCCCAACTTTTCTTTGTGCAGCTGGAATGTAACTGTCTATGCGTCTGTATTCCTGTGATAATAATGTGAGAAAATGGAGAGAGGAGAATATCCCACCAAGACCCCTCCCACACTATTCTGTTCTCTTCCTCAATCAACTTTCCTATGGTGCAAATTGGGGCTAAGATGTCTCCATTCCTGATTTAGCCTTTTGTTGCCCTGAGCTGTAGCTGCTTCTTTCCCTATTGAAAAAAATGAATCTGAATATTGATTTCTATTTCAAATTTGTGCCATGAAATATGGTCAATGGGTTAATTAAATGGAAGGGAGTTTCCTAAAATCAATAGAGAAAAAAAACCCTGAAACCTTACAGAATCCATGTGTTTGCTGTGCTGAGTCTGCTGTGGGTGGGGACAGGAGAATGATGAAAGCAGCTGAGGATGGACATGGTAGCACCCAGACTGGGCTCAGTCCACCCTGGGCCTTGATGTGGTCACTCCTCAGCTGGATCATCTTCCCTGTACCTTAGTCCTGTCCCTTTGATTGAACCTCATCCCATCAGGACCTGTGATGACAGGGACTCAAGCATTCCCAGGGCTGGTCCTGTCTCCAGGACCATGGGTAGGGAGGTCATCATGCCACAAGGTTAACATAGACTAAGACCTGAGTCTGATCTTCTGCTCCTATCTAATTTTGCTTCTCCGTTTCTACGGAGAATTATCCTTGATTTTGTGATTAAGTGGAGTTCTGATCTCATCTCCTCTGGGTTGTCTCTCATCTTGACAGCAGCAGGAGTTTTGGTTTTTTGTCGTTTTTTTGTTTTGTTTTATTTTTCCTGTCATTGTCCCACAAAACCCAGGCCAGTTTCCTGGATTGTATTTTCCATCATTCCTCCAATATTTTTAAGGGAACCATATATGGGAATAGCTGAGAGGAAGAATCTCATGATTTCTTTCATCTTAGATAAAATCCTCTTAGGATTCTAATCTTCCCTATTAGCAGTTTCACTGCCTTTAGCTGTACTAATACTAGCATTTGCTTCATTTCAGATTTCTGGATTGATAACAGAGTCTAATACAGGCTTCTAGTTAGTTGGGAAATATGACCCATTAGTCAACGATCATCTTTTCTGAAGATCAAAATGTCCTTAGCTGCTGTGGAGAGCAGGAGGGCTGATGTGGAGGGAGGGAGGGAGGGCAGCACTTGTGAGAAAAGCACAAATGGCTTTGGCCTCAGTGTGAAAAGCCCTTGCCTGCAGATGACACAGCAGCATTTGATCTGAGGCTCCATTAATAAAGACAGTGTCTCTAGAAGAGGGAGGGCTGACACTGATCATTCATTAGCTCTCATTTATTGAAAACTGAGTAGATGGCACACAGTTTATACCTAGTATACATTGGGGAACTGAAAACAAACCCTAAAAGTTCCTCCCTTATGGAGCCTGTGTTCTATAGGAAAAAGGAAGAAGATATACTCTAAGCACAGTAAATAAGGACAGTGTTCATGTTAGGTGGTAAGTATTGCTAGGCAGGTGTCAGAGTGGGTTTGTGGGGACAGAGAAGATGGCTGTTTTACTAGGGGGCTCAGCATGGGACTTATTAGCAAGGTGACATTTGAGAATGGACTTGAAGGACATGAAGGAATTTGTCAAGATGTTTGGAGGAAGATCTTACTAGGCAGGAGGAAGCTCCAAAGCAAATGCACCAGGGCAGGATCCTGTGTGTGTGTTCTGGGAGAGAAAAGATCTGGGATATACTGAACAGAGTCACTGAGAAGAGTTCAGAGGCACCACCAGTCTCAGAACTATCTGGAGTTTGATGGAAGAATCCTGCATGAGTTAGGGAGTTTTGAGCAAAGACATGGTTCATCTTTCCAAAGCATCAATCGTATGATTGAGTTGAGAACAGAATTGAAATGGGAGGACTAGCAAGGCAGCAGGGAAACTGTAGGGAAATAATCAGTCCTATGTGGAAAAGCTGGAGTCATACCTCTAAAGTCACTGGATGCAATGGACCTGACAACCTTTCTTGATACCAAGACTTCTGCCAGGGAACTGTGCTCAGTTGTTTATTGTCTTTCCCACCAGCCAGGGAGAGAGAGGATCCTTTACTCGTCCTGAGAGAAAGCAACCTTCAGTTACTCTATATTACAACATCTGGGAATTCAGGCCAACTCACTTCCTTCTGGTTTGGAACAGGGCCTTGTTCCAGCATGGGTGCCATTCTCCTCCCCTCCTTGTTGGAACTAGTGGAGAGATCTATAGGACATAAGGCAGGTGTCCTGAAGCCGCTCATACCTATGCCCTGCAGCATCTCCTTCCGGTTCTCTGGGTATCTGGCAAGGCACTCCACACAGGTGCCCTCCGCATAGGCCCTCTGGTGCTCTGCGACCCTTGCATCTCCCCCCTTGAGCTAGGTGATCTGAGCCGCCCTGTCAGCTGCTGTCCAGGAGCGCAGGTCCTTGTTCAGGGCGAAGTCATCCACGCCACCTTAAGCGTGCTGCTCATACCCGCGGAAGACGCGCGGGTATGAGCAGCATACATCTGGTACTGTGAGAGCCTGTCCCTGCCCTGGTCACCCGCGTCTCCGCCCCACACACACTACGGGTTTTTCCTCTAAAATGAAAATGAAACCTGATCACAGTCCCCGCGGGCGTTTTCTGGGTCGAGGGTCTCCGAGGGTCCCTCAGCCTTGGGGTGAAGCTCGGCTTGGGGAATCCCTGTCGACTCAGGACCATCCTTGAGGAATAGGAGCCGTGGCGACCTCCGACAGGGGCCAGGTCATTCACCACCCTCGCTCTGGTTGTAGTAGCCGCTCAGGGTGTTCAAGTCCACTCCCTCCGTAAGTCTGTAGGTCTTCCTTGGCTTTCTGTGTCTCCGTTCCCAATACTCAGGCCCTTCCTGCTCTATCCAAGGCGCTCGGGGCTTCATCCTCGGGGTCTTGGAGTCGCTGTCAAAGAGCACGAGTGTCGTCCACGTAGCCCAAAGAGATTAAACGGGGCTCCCCGCGGCCAGGCCGGGACACCGAGGTGTCGAAATACCTCATGGAGTGAGAGCCTAGGGGAGGGAAGGGACTAAGACCCTCGCGACCCTGCTATCCTCCTCAGGCGCCTCTCCCAGGTCCCTGGTTGACAACGCCAGGAGGAAAGAAGTGGAGTCTAGAGGCGCTAATGGGGCGGTGGGACGCGGGAGGGCAGGACTTAGGGGCGGGAGTGGAGGGTCAGGATGAGCCGCGCCAGGGTGGGGAAGGTCTGGGCCAGGGGCAACAGGGGACATGGCTTCCCCGGATCCTCCGTGCTCAAGGGATGTAGGTCGTTTCCCTCCCGACCTCACACTCACCGGCCCAGGTCCGGGCCAGGGCCAGAGCCCCTGAAGGCAGCAGGAGCAACTTTTGGAGAGTCATTACCCGACTCTGCAGCTCTGGGGCCGGGGACTGGGGGGGGGAGGGTGAACTTTAAAACCGAATCTCCGTAACGTTATTGGCTTTTCTAGGAAAAAGACACTCAATGGGAGTAATAACTGAGGTCGCATCAGATGTGTCGGGGCAGAACGACATTACCCAAGTTGGAAGAAGAAGAAATGAAAGTCCAGGGAGATGGGGAATCCCCAGTGCTCTGAACCCACACCCAGACACTGAGAACCCCGCCCAGGGCTGGGACTTTCTCAGAACACTCCTCTTTACTAAACATTCTTTGTTACACCATACCTTGATTCCTGACCCAGGGTGTAAATCATCAGTTCTCAAACGTTTTGTTTTCAGAGATCTTTATATGCTCTAAGAAAGTGTGCCTTCCAGAGGTAATCATGCTTTTGTGGATGATGTCTATCAATATTTGCCATATTAGAAATTAATTCCATTTTAAATATGTTATTTCTTCTAAGTATTAATAAGTTATTGAATGTTAAGAGACACAATAATTTTAAAAAGAAATAAGTGTTTTCCAAAATCAGAAGATTTAATTGGAAGACTGGATTGTTTTACATTTTACAACTTTGAAAGTCCTTTCTATTTGTCATTAGAGAATGCTAGATAGTGTATTTTCCTCATTTAGTCTGTTGGAAAAAAAAGTGTAGCCTTACACAAATGTGCAGGAGGAATATTTTTAATAACATTTTCAATAACTGGCTGTTCATCTTTGATATTATACTAAATTGACACAAGAGTGCCACAGAAGGAAAAGAACTGTTCCAAGATGCATGTTGAATGGATGGCCAAAATCCAGAATAAATGAAGAACATTTATTAATGAGACAGACAACACTTCACTCCATGGAGGTGAATAAAAGTTCACAGGAAAAGCTATGCAAGTCACTAATAAGTACTTGAAAAGATGCTCACCTTCACCAGGTATCACAAGGTATTATTACCTCACATCAACTAGAATGAACAGCATGAAAAACACTTATGAAAATAACACATATGAAGAGGATGTCAGCATTTGGAAATCTCATACATGCTGCAAGGAATGTGAAAAAATTACAGCCCATTTGTAAAACAGTATCACAATCCCTGATACTATTAAAAATACACATACCATATGACCTAATAATCCCATCCTTAGGCATTTATATGAAAGAAAAGGAAGCATCACAATACTAGACCTTAAACTATACTACAAAGCTATAATAACAAAACAGCATGATATTGGCACCAAAGTGACACATAGACCAATGACACAGAATGGAAGACACAGAGACGAACCCACATAAATACAGTTATCTCATACTAGACAAAGGTGCCAAAAACATACAATGGAGAAAAGATAGC